TAACTTAATTTACATTTTTTCCCTAAGCATCATCACAGCATACAAAATGTGATTTCCCATCCAGAATATACTGCATAGTGACTTAATCAAGCATATTATTATCAAAAATTTTCCATTTATAGTTCCTAGAAGTTTTTTACCCCTCTTTCTGACCCTCTGTCCTTTCCCACCCTCTTCTCCCACTGTCTCTGGTGTCTACAATTGTCTTCCATTCCTTTTCCACCCACATTGTATTGATCACACAATTTCTTAAATAATCTAACTACTTTCAATGGTAAGTTCACACGGTACTATTAAGAAAACCAGTTTTAACTTAAATCATAGAAATGCTAAGGAACTTTTCTTAAAGCCAGGAGACAGGTTAGGATTCTGTTCAAATGGTAGGTGCATGAACCTATCAGTCTCATGTACTTTATCTTCTGTTCTGGTTCCATTTTTCCTATTAAATTCTGGGAATTAACTTTTTTTAAAAAAAAGAAAGAAAGAAATATGGACACGAACAAACAAGCATACACATGCAAGCCACATCATTGTAATGGCACAAAAATCAAATTCAACCCAAAGGTCTGTGGGGCTGGATTAAACATATTTTGATTACACCCATTTTAAAAACTAATGGGGGGCCAACAGGTTGCATGGTGGTTAAAGGTGCTGGATTCCCACATGGCCAACCACAGTTCGAGTCCTGGACCTGGTGGCTTGCTTTCTCACTTTCTTCCTCTCCTTCTTTCTCTCTATCTCAATCTGTCCCTCTCTGGTCAACTTTAAATAAATAAAGTTAAATAAAATAATTATTTTTTTAAAAAAAAGCTAATGTGGGTTCCAGCAGGTGAGCATGTAGGCACACATGCCCTAAAACCCTGAAAGAAGAATGGAGGAGAAAGGACTATGGTGTGGCCATACCCCCGGGAAGCGCTTTTTCACTTTTTCTCTCTCTCCTTCCTCCTGGTGAGCACACATGCCCTACAGAAAAAATTTTACAGTGCAATGAAACTAGGACCAGCAGATGGTGTCATGGTTACATTGCTGGACTCCCATGTAGTTGACCACGGTTCAAGTCCCTGACCTGGCAGTTTAAAACTCACACTGGGTATGTATAGCATATATGCCCAAAATCCCAAGAGGAGAATGCAGAAGGGATTGCGGTGGCCACACGCCCTCCCTAGGACGTGATTCTCGCTTTCTGTCTCTCTCTTCTCTCCAGTGAACGCACACTCCCTAAAGCAAAAATAAAAAGGGCAATGAAACGAAACCATACATTCTATTCTACATCTTAGTTTTCTCCTTAACGCAGGATCTTGGATGTCTTTCTGTGTCATATGGGTAGCCTGGCCAGGTGAACTCATTCTCTTCCCATGGCTGGGATTATAAAGATATATAACTGCAAAAGTGTACCTTAAGGCTTTTGTCCTAACTTCCACTTGATGGACATTTGGGTCCTTCCCAGGGTTTCCTAGTACAAACAGTGCCAAAGTGGATATTCTTGTGTCTCGATCTTTGCACACTGATGCAAGATCTCAAGAGGCCACATATTTTGGAAGTTTAATAACTGGATCATATTCAAAATCTAAAAATTACTAAATTCTCCTAAAAGGTTCTCCTAAGTTACACGCCAAGAAGCAATATACCAAGGCACTGAACTTTTGAAACATAACTATTACATTAAGTAATTATAACATTTGCAAGTTAGTTGTAACCGGTTTAAACAGCTACATAATAAACCACTGTATGGGTTTATTATTATTGACTTAACTACACACCTGCTATTCTCCACTGTTAGACTTTGAGTTTGTCACTAATTTTTCCTTGTTATAAAAACCACGCAGCAGACATGTTTATATACAAAACATTTTCTGGGGCTGGCAGGTGGCGTGGTGGTTAAGGTACTGGACTTCCACATGGCTGACTGCAGTTTGAGTCCCAGACCTGGTGGCCTATGTTCTCATTTTCCTGCTCTCTCTCTGGTCAAATTAAAGTAATAATGATAATAACAATACATAAAATTAAATATTATTTTTAAAAAGTCTATTGAAAATAAATGTTATGAATTTCAATCCCTATACTTTATTTTTAAAGAATCATCTCATTTAACTTTATTTATTATTAATTAGACTAGAGAGAGGGAAAGTGAGAAAACAAGCCACCAAGTTGGGGACACAAACTGTGGTTGGCCATGTGGGTGTCCAGTACCCTTAACTACCAGCCACATGCTGGCCTCTCAATCCCTGTACTTTAAAAAAGCGCCACTGGTCAAGCCATGGTAGCTCAGGCAGTGGGATGCCCCATGTGGTGCTCGAGCCAAATAGCAGGCTCCAGGTTCAGATCTCGGGAAGACCTGAATGTGCTGAGTGTGTCCAGGGACATGATCATGACCAGCTGGGGACCTGGAGGGGGAGTATCACAGTGTGTCAGGACCTTGTTGGAGGTGTCCCCCCACCCCCATAGATGATAAACATTAAATGACTGGGCCGGCAGGTGGCATGGTGGTTAAGGTGCTGGATCCCACATGGCTGATTCCATGGTTCGTGTCCTCGACCCAGGGGCTTGAAAAGCACGCTGGGCGCACATGTGTTCATGCCCAAGATACCAAGCAGAGAATGGAGGAAAAGGGATTGAGACATAGCCATCCTGCCTGGGGGGTACTGATTTCTCACTTACCTTCTCTCTCTCGGTCTCTATTTTTCTCTGGAAAAAGAGATATTTTTGTATCCTATGGCAAAAATCTAAAACAAGAGGGACCAGCAGATGACATAATGGCTACATCACTGGGCTTCTACATAGTTGACTGTGGTTCGAGTCTGGGACCCAGAGACTTAAAACTCATGCCAGGCATAAGCCCTAAATTCTGAGAGAATGAAGAAGACAGGATTGCAGTGTGGCCATTCCCCCTGGGGAGTGATTTCTTGCTTTCTGTCTCTGACTTTCTGGCAATTATAGGTGCCCTGTAGAGAAAAATCTCTCTGAAAAAATCTTAAAAAAGAAAAGGGGCCAGGGGATGGTGCAGTGGTACCGCAACTGAACCACATGGGAAAGGCCCTGGGTTCACATCCTGGGGCTTCCCTGAGAATGTCGGGCATGCATATATGCCCAGGATCCAGGCCAGCTGAGACCAGGGGGTGGGTCATGGGTGAAGACCCCAAAGTGCCTCTCTCTCTCTCTGTCTCTCTCTCTCCCCCTCTCCTTCCCATGGGAGAAATAAAATGAGCAAGTGCCACGGTCTCCTCTCATATCCCACTTGCTGTGCACAGGTCAGCCTTTGGACCCGTCTGTAGGGCGCCTGCGGTATTCCGAGGCGTCAGTGCCCACTGCACAGGCCTGCACAGGCGCCCTGCTCTCC